CCATCAATCGTTCACCGAAAATGCTTTTAAACAAATGAAATCTTCTTCTTTTTTTTCAATTAATTACGACCGAACTTATTCTTACACGCTTTTTTTGCTGTCTTTTACTTTAAATGATCTTGTCTTCTTGTGCATGTGAAACGATCTTTTAAAAACTTGTTCCTTATGATTATATACGCGTCTGTATTCTCTGTATGATCCGCATTGTTCTTTATCATTTCATTTTCGCTTTAAAATATATATATATATATATATTACAACATTATCTTATTCATCAGCTATATCATGTGTGCAAAGACGAAAGTATTGAAAAAGAAAAAAAAATACAGGAAAAAAATGTGAAGTAGTGTAATCTTGAGTTGGTTCACAAAACGAAAGGAAAAAAAAAAGAACCAGCCAGAAAACATTAACTGCGATACGATGTAATAGCTGCTTGCATTAATTCGATCTATAAATAGAAAATAGAAAAAAAGACAAACGTCATATATAATGAATAAAACAAAAAAGAAAATAAATTTTTCTAATCAATAAAGAAAAATAAAAGAATGTTTCATTCTCAACAACTAACTAACGCTTTCTTCTTATGTATATATATATATATACACATATATCTAATTACAATATAAATATTCCCTTAGGCCTATTTTCATAGTTGAGTTTCTATATATGAAGTCCTATCAAATCCGGTCATTGTCTGCATTACCGGAATTGGAAATACAATGGTTGAATTTTTTTCTGATGCAATCGTTGTTAATGTTTGTAAATATCGAAGTTGAAGAGCTGTTGGTGATTGCATAATAACATCCGCAGCATCTTTTAATGCTCTAAAGGCATAATAGAAATGTCAAATCACAAATGATGATACGAAACAAAATCTTACCTTGATGCTTTTTGTTCACCTTCAGCTGCAATAACTTTAGCACGAGCTTCTCGTGCAGCTTCAGCTTCAGCTGCCATTGCTCTATAAACAGAATACCATAAGATAACATTTTTAATAAATAATTTAGAAAAAATACCTTTGTAATTGAACAGGTAAACGAACATCTTTACTATAAATTAAAAACAAGATATTTTAAACTGTATTATGAAAAATAAATAACATACACTTCAACTCGTTCAACTCGTACTCCCCAACCTTCAGTACCTTCATCCAAAGCAGCCTAAAATAAAATAAGATTCGATTTTTTCTTTTATATCAAATCATTATATTTGCCTGCATTGTTTGTGCAATGGATTCTCGATCAGAAAGAATCTCTTGTAAAGATTTTGTACCAAGTCTTTAAAGAAAAAATAACAAATCATAGATTATCGATTATGATAAGATTATAATAACTTACACATTACGTAGACTTGTAGCAGCTAGTAATTGTGTACTTTTTGGTGCATCTTCAACATTTGTAATAGAAATAACTGGATCGAATACTCGAAAATAGACAACAGCATCAACAGCTACAGTTACTGAATCTTTTGTTAAAATCTATATATAGATACATGCATGCATTGACATCAAAAATAATCATAATAAATTAGATTTATAATACACACTTCCTGTGGTGGTACATCGAATGTAATTGTTCGCAAATCAACTTTTGTATAAGCATCAACGCATGGTATTATAATAAAAAGACCTGGCCCCTATAATAATAATATAGCAAAAGGAATGATGATGAGAAATATTTTATTAGACAAGACATACTTTGGCACCACCCAGAATACGACCCAGTCGAAACATAACGGCACGTTCATATTCTTGCACGACCTAATGAAAGTATATATATTTAGTTTAATCAAATGAAAAGAAAGAAGTAGCAAAACAAGAACTTACTTTTAGACAAACAGTAAGTGAGAATGGAAACGTAAGACATATAATTGCATATGAAAGAATTAATAGTATATATCCACATAAACCCAAACTATAATCTTCATGTGAATCTAAATGAATATACTTGAGTTAATAACATAATAATATTAAATGAAAACTATAATTTCGTTAGTAATCACGATCATAAAATTAAAACTCACCATGATGTGTTCTGATTATTGATGCTCTCGAAAAATGAATTGCAGGAGTTAAACGTGGATAGTGATCATTTCGATCTGGATTCATAGTTCCCTTATTTTTTCTTCTTATCGTAGTAGTAGTAGTACTAGTAGTTGTCTTCTCTTCTTATTACTATTCAAATAGTGTTCGAACTATTTCTATAGTTAATGGTAGATCGCACGCACGACAATGAAAATTGATGTTTCTGTTTCTGCTACTATGTCTTTATTACTGTTATTATTGCTCTATTGTTGCCGATGTTATCATATTCTGTTTGTTAGTCTATCTTTTTTTTCTTCTTGTGCTTTCCCCTAGAGTCCTTAAGGTGTTTGTTTATTCAAAAGATTCATAATGTTACTCGCTCTCTCTTTTCTACTTTATTACATTTCGAACAAGGACAGTTATTTGACAGCAAGAAATGACAGTTGTATTTGTCAAATGACAGATAACGTTTACAAACGATATCTCTATCATAATAGAAAAGAATAATAACTAAATACTTTTTTTTTTCTTCAAAAAAAAAACGATGCCTACTTGCACTTCTGCTGATCTTCGCTGTTAATGGTGTTGCGTTCATATGTATAAATGAATAATAGTTCGACGTCACACAGACACACTATCCTGCACTCTTTCCTCGAGATTCACCGTAAATGTGTTTCCGTTGTCTTCTCTTTTCTCGCTCTCTTTCTTTCTTTCTTTCCTCTATACCCTTTTTTTAGTCTTCTCCGAGTCAACGAAACGATCTTCCGCTTGCTCTCTCGAAACTTTCTCTCTTGTCTACGTGCTCCTCCTTTTTTCTTTCATTGTTCCATTCAAACACGCACATAGGCTTCGTTCCAATTACATAATTGAATGTCTCTTGATAGTCGACATTCACAAGACAATTATAAGACAATCAGTCGTTATCTAGTAATGAAAATCTTATTTATTTTCACTAAATTTTTACGTTAACGAGGAATAAGAAATCTTTAGTAGTAGTAGTAATTTTTTGTTTCTCTTGAGAAATCTTTAAGCTTTAATCATCTTGCTGAAAATAATTCAGTGAAAGTTAGTGGCATTAACAACGAACGATTGATGACGATGCATCATCACTCATCACTAAACTAAATCGTTGTTATTCGGGAAACGACAAGGAAAAAGAAGAACGGAAGAACTCAATTTATAAGATGCAAGCTTGCCTATTCGTTTAGTTGATCATACAATACTCAAAATGATTAAGTAATCGAAGAAGAAGAAAAAAAGACGCAAGACGATTATTGAACGATAAGAGACATTTCTCTCTATATTTGTTTAGTTTCTATTAGTTGAATGGTACTTTAGAACTGTGATAATTTGTAGATTTATTTAAAATGAAATTGAGCATGTGTTGGAAATTGCTATGAATTATTTCTCTCACCTGTTACTCTTACATTAGGCAATGGCAACAATCTTATGTCTGATGATGATGATGATGATTGTTGACAAGGCATTATGATTGACAAAAATCTGTTTGATATTTAGTAGAAAAGAATAATACGAAGAGCTAAAGATTGGCGTATTTATCAATAGGATTTAATCTCATCTGTAGTTTCTATTGCCTCTATCTGGTTTCCTTTTCTTCTTCGTCTTTTTTTGCATTACGTCAATTCAAATACGCTTGAGCAATCGATCGAAAAAACAAAGTTGATATTATGATGCTGTCATCATTCTATTGTCGAATAAAATTACAATGTCACTTAATAAAAGAATAAATATGTAATAAGTCTTTTTTTCTTTGTTTCTAAATAATTCAACATACAAGATTATTGTCAATTTTTTTGTGTGTGTTTTGTTTCGTTAAGTTATTTTTTGTTTTCTTTTCGTCTGTCTTGTTTAACACTTCAACAATCTCGTTAATGAGATAGTTTGATTAACTATTATCATGTTTTTCTTTCGGTCCTTTCTATATTTATCTATATATAATTAGACATCTGCATTACTAATATAAGATACCTGTGTGAGGGTTTCCATGCATATGATAGCCAGAATTATTATGGTTATGCGTTGTTGTTGTTGGTGATGATTGTGCTGATGGTACTTCCAATCGTTTCCGTCGTTCATTATCCGATTTCCAGCTATGATGTTGTTTTGGACTGCGCATGAATGACTTTTATTGTATTTTTGATGTACTTTAGGGTATAGTTTGCTTTGTATTTATCCGTTCTTTGTCTTTTTTTTTTGCTCTCAGTTGTATACAACAACCGCTGACATACACACTATTATCGATAATTATTTATTGTATACTCTGATTCGAACGATGATAGTTATGACGACAAGACGATTATTGTTGTCGTATTAGGAAACAGCAAATCTAGCAAACAGATAGAAGAAAGAAAAAGAGAAATATTATATTTCAGAAATATTACAATATATATATGATTCTTTCTCATCCTTTTCTTACAATTCAAACAATCAAAGAAAAGGGTGACGATCTTGCCGATCAAACAATAGTTGACATGGTTACTCTCTTTTCATCACGCTTCCTCTCGAAAGATTTCCTGCGGCTTTCTTCTCTCATTGCATCAACATCCGTGTGTCCTTATTCGCTTGTCTCTCCTCGTTTGGGCACGTTCCATTTAGACAGATGGAACACACATTCACGCATATATATCTATATATATATATATATATATTTATACGTTAACGATTCTATCTTTATCGTATATAATTTTCACGTCTAAGATAGATACCAGTCTATCGATATGATTTTTGTCAACGAATATCATAGACGCTAAACTAATCAACAGTATTAATATTGTCATCTTTCAAGGAAAGAAATTACACAAACATTGCTTTTTAGTTTATATGTCAGATGAAAAAAAACAACTATATACAATAAATATATATATATATACATTTATTTACTCACAAGCATACGAATAGTATGTGAAATGAGTAAAATGGATAGTATGTTAAATGTCATTTCTATATACACATAGGGGAATAGACGAAATGTAAAGAAAAAAAAAAACAAAATTTTATTCGAGAGGATTTCCAGATGGTTCACTGGTATCATTTGTATGTAATATGGTAAGATCAACAGTTGTTGTTCTGTATAATAAATTGCGCTATGTGCTCGACGACATTGACAGAAAAAGCAATGATTTATATTCTCATTAACATGCAACATTATGTATCTTATACCGAACGAGCATATTGCACAAAAAAAAAGTATCTGTTCGTAATTGTTACTAAAGAAAAATAAGATTGAAATCTCCTGAGTATTTATTAAAAAAACATTGTTTGATTTATAATTTCTGCTGTTTTTCTATAAAACTACTGAGAACTTATACATAATGAGATATGATAAAATGAATTTCTAACACGTTCTTATCAAGATGATTGCAATGTCATGAATCTAATTTAAACGTGCGTCACAATTAGTTTTCTAAAGATAATCTGCAATTAAATGACAATTTCTATTGACAAAAGATAGGAAAAGATTTAGATTAATTGAAAAATGATTATTCAACACAAGGAATTCATTCGATCCACAAGATAATTGGCAAAAGCAAGGAGGAAAAAAACTGATAATATATTCTTATAAGCGTCAATGAACTATATATGTATGTATACGACTCGATAAGTACTTTTCGCTATAAAAACTATCATTCTAAAGATTGCTTTTAGTTATATATCTTTATTTGTAAACAATCTCTCGTTGTTATACTTCTGTTTTCATTCTATTAATTGTTATGGAAATGACTTTCTCCTAGAAAACAAACCTTGCCATATGTTTGTTATTGACAATTTCTAAAGAGTATATATAATCTGTATATTTAAAATGCCTAATCACGATTAACATACTTTACTTTAGTCGGAGAATACCGTAGATTGAAGTCAACTGTAATCCTTTCAAAATGGAAATGAATTCTCTATGATATGGAAAGCAAATATATCGACATTTTTATTTGACGTAATAATTAGATAGATAAATTTGATTTATTCCTATGCAATTGCAGTCCAAGTAGTTTTCAAAGTGGCAATGACTAATAAATGATACTTATCTATAAATCATTCACTTACATAAAAGAAAAAGACAACTGATTATTCTTAACAAAAACTTTTTAGAAGAAAAGTAATTAACATTTTTAATATCTATTTCAACATAATTTTCCCTGCGGGTAAATTAAACTATATGGAATCTTTTTAATCAAGAATACGCTTTTTCATAATGTTCAAAAAATAAATTAACTATTTGAATATTATCAGATGTCTCTGTCTATTCGAATACACACGTGTCACCTCATCGATAATATATTTATATATACTATAGTTTGATTTGTTTTCCTTCATTCTTGTGTATTCTATATCTTTAACACAGACTAATTTTTCTATTCTATCGTTCTAAACAATGCCTGCTCTTACCAAGGACAAATTTATTAAACGTGTTCAAACACCATCATGGTAATATTAATATTATTTCAAAAAATATCGAAATTCTGTATTATTGTTTAGTATTCATTCGAAATCTTTGAATACGAACGATGTTAAACGACTTGGTGGACCTACTCGAAGAATGATAAGCTCAAAACGTATACAAACACAATGTAAAATTTTGTTATTTATTTTCTTAATTTAAAATAATGAAAATTTATTTTATAAGCTATGCAAACTCAAACTGTACTTGCTTGTCTTATTCTCGCTGATAAATATAAACAAAATGATGAAGGAACACAAACAGTAAGAATATGTGTTTTTTGTATCGAAATCTTTTTTTGTTATTATTTATTTTAGAATGATGATATTGATTATCATTGTGAAGATTCAACGAATAGTTTTGCTTCACGTTTAGGCAAATTTTTTGTATGTAAACAAAAATTTATCATTAAATATCATTAATCTATTTCATTAAAACCTAGGGTGGAACGATCGTCTCGTTTATGAAATTATTTAAAAATAACAAATAGAGACTCTCTTTTTTTTCTAATGAAATTTATTTATTTATTTATTTATTTAAAATAAACATAATGTGAATTAACTGTAATCATATATGCAAATGTCTAGATTTTAAAAAATAATTAATGAAAATAACGAATTTTATTTGATAGATGTACAAGTTTTTAAAAATGCTTATTAAACACAATTATTGTTAATTGAGATATAAAAATTTGTCTATAAGGACATCATATATAGTATTTAATTTTAATCATTCAAATTTCTTTTTACAATGTCTATCGAAGATCTAGACGATTTGACAATTAAAATATGATATGATAAAATGTAATTATTCAACTAGAATTTTTTTTTTTGCTACTTACTTTAAAGTATGTTTTACTATAAATGAAATAGAATTAGTTGATAGCTTATTCTTTTATGAGTAAAATTCTCGGGAAAAAAGATTTCGAGACATCATCTATTATAAGAAGATGTAATACACCGCAATGAAAAAACTATTTCAATGAATAATATATTATTTTCTTTGTGTTTGATTCTTTTGAAGAGAATAAAAAAAAGAATAATCGATCTAACTGAAATTTCTTCCGTTAACAAGCATCGAGTTCTTTGATTGTTTTTCAATCAATACTATATTACATACAGGGGTAATAATATTTAGTAAAAAACGAAATAATCTTATTTTAGAAGTATTATTTATAATTAATCTTGGTTTTGCCAATATACTATGGAAATACAAGTAATTTATATAAATCTAGTAGAGATAAAAGAGAAATCGATACAAAACTCATCAATATTATATGTATTTTTTGTATTCCGTTCTTTATGTAGTGAGATTTTACTATCGCTCTCAAGACTTATTTAATCCAGAGTTTTTCGATTTGTAAACTAACACAAATTTCATTTTTTTTCTTCTGCTGAATATCACATATAATTTTACGTAGTAATCTTGATACAGATCTTTATTTAACTTTCATTCCCATCTCATGTTCATCAAATAGAACATTTTTACTTTCATTCAATTGAAAGGTCTCATATCAAATTTCCGTTGCTATTAGTATAATAAATACAAAGAAAATTTTATCAAATAAAAATCTTTTATTTTTATCGTTTGAATGATTCACGTATATTAACAACAAAATCAAAAAGAAAAAAAACGAATAAATAAGAAAAATATCAGCACCAGAATATATATATATATATATGAATGAGATTCAATATATAGAGAAAAAAATGCAAAGATTTTCTCTCGTTTAAGACGTTGCTGGTTGAAATCGTTGCATATAAAAATGACAATTAGAACAATAAGTTCCAATTTGATTATTTTTTGAACAACGTTTATGACAAAGTGTACATTCGCTTAAGCCAATTGGAACATCATTTGATACTGATGGTGTATCTGAATCAGAATCGGACGTTGGTGTTGGTGTTGCTGTTTGTTGTTGATGAATTTTTCTTAAAAATGAATGAATTAAATGTTCAGATGGTGGTTCATCTGTATCATCCGATGTTGGAACAATTAATGCAACATTATCAGAAAATTTCACATTCTTTTTTGGACGTAAATGTTTTGTAGTTGTTGAAAGTATTGATGTTGTTCTTGACATATTATTATCATAGATATTATCATTTTTCTTCATAATTTTTTCAACTGGTTTAAATGTTGATGTTAAAGAATTCATAGATGAACAAAATCTTGTTAAATTTTCTTGTTCTTCTATTTGTCGTTTTTGTAATGAACGTATTCGTAATAGTAGACTGTTCTTTTTTGTTCGAGCATATATCGATATACCATTATTATACTGATGACTTAGATTTAAAATTTGTTCGACAAGTATTAATGCTTGTTGACAAGATTCTAATGCTGATGTATAATTACTTGCACTTTCATATTTTAATGATTCTTCAAAATAATGTTCTACCATTGCATATGTTGTATCAAGATGATCATCTTCTAAAAAACAAAATTAACAATTCAATACAAAAATTTTTTGTTTATTCATCAATTGAATAGTAAGAGTAGTCACGAATTCAATGTTTTCATACTTTTGAAAAGATAAACAATACTCTTGTGAATAAAATATACGTTTTTCTAGTATAAATAATAATGTCTTGTTCGAATTTATAAGTGTGAACTTGAAAGAAACGAAAATTTCAAGCTTGATCATTGTAATAAAAGCGTTTAAAAACTTCGGTAGTTTATTTTATGCATATTACATCAAAATTATTAGATGTATTTTTATTATTTTTCAAAAACTGAATCGATTGTACTCTATGATTAACAACTATAATAAGTATATCTGAACTTTAACGCCTACTTTGTAAGTATACAGATGTATATTTTTTTCAAAATTGACGCCTATTTATCCTACTATGATTTATTTTACTTACTCATAATATGTTCTGTTTGTTTAATTAAACTATCTATAACAGTTTGATCATGTTCACTAAGACTATCTCTTGGACTTCCATCACTTGATTCATCATTTATTCCAATACTCAATCCAGAATCACGCGATGAATCACCACTTGATGATGTATCTTCACGTTGTTGAATTAATTGATAATTTCGATGTCGAACATTAACAATAGGTGATGATGTTGTTGATGATGATATTGATGTTGTATCAGATAATGTTTCTTTTTTTAATAATTGTTGTTGCATGACTTTAACAACTGTTTCTTGATTAATATAAGACGTATTCATTGTTGATTTAGGCATAAATAACATTGAAGAATTAAGTGTAGCAAATGATGATATATTATGAAGATTTTCTAATGAATATGATTGATGTTGAGATTCATCTTGTTTTATTGGTATTGAATTTTTCTTATTAGTTAATACCATAGTTTGTTCTAATCTTCCTTCGTCAGGTATAACTACAAACATAAGACGTAATCGATCAGTGTTATTTTATAATCATCCATAATAAATGACACAAGAAGAAAAAAGAATGAGAACGAGAGCCGTATACACGTTTATCGTTCATCACTGTTCTTATTTACTTTTATTTTTCTGCCCCCTTTCTCATCTTATACACTCGAACGGAGGTAGCCACAACATAGATACTCATCATAGAACAAAAGTAATCATCAGGCGAGGCCTACAATCAATTGTAATTGTGTAGACAGAACAGCCTGCACTAGTATAATGATGCAATATATGTGAGTAAAGAAATTGAATAATACATATATATATGTACATATAAGTATTAATGATTGAAGTCTTTTTCTCATCGAATGAACTTACAATTCGTATTTTTTGTTTGTATCACCGTTCGTTTAAGTAACTGCCTTATATCAACTGGATCACGATCAGGATTTGCATAAATAAGAAGAAATGGTTGTAGATGAAAATCAATACATTTTCTTTGAACAGCATTCCAATCAGCGGATACAACAATATTTCCATCGAAACAAAAAAGCCATTTTGATGTTGTTGAATCATATGAAAAAAAAACTTCAACAGTCCCACCATAAAAACAAATAAGACCAATTAAATTTAATTGTTTAATACGAGCATCACTTATAGTCACATCGTAAAATAACTATAAACATGAAGAAAAAAAACAATTAATTATTCATGATAAAATTCTCTTCTTTTTTTTCTATGGTATTTACTTCACGTAAATATACAAATGAATCAATAGTTGAAACAAGATCTTCTACATCACTTGTTGTGCATTGAGATGTATTCCAATCAATAGCAACAGAGACTACAAAAAGAAGAAACAAAAATAAATAAATAAATTCAATCAATTGAAAATAATTTCATACTTAAATCTGGAACATTAGTTAATAATAAAACATTTCGTTGTTGTTGTTCGCAATTATTTATGGGACAAATTTGACGATCCAATTCAAATCGATTTATAGATGCTAGGTAAAGAAGTTGACCAAAGGATTTTGATAAACGTTTTGTTTCAATTTGTTGTAACAGTTGACTAAGAAAAACGAAAGATTCTCACCATTATTATTATTATTATTCAAAGCTTATCATACGCTTACCATAAAATAGTCGCATCAACTTGATAAACTGGTTGAGTAAATATCATTGTATTATCAATCGTTGGTTGTTGTTGATGAGAAAGGCAATTGGCATTGCCACATCGACGCTAGATATATATATGAAATTCTCAGATAAACTTAATAGAGAAAAAAAAGATATACATACCACTTTTATAAGATTCATCTGATGAACATTATAATTAAGAGACAAAAAAGAAGATCTAAAAGAAGATAAAGAGTAATCATTTCTTTTCTCCTTTTTTTTTTGGCAAACTTTCATACTGACTACTACAACTAAATCAACATACATGCATTCGATATATCACCCGTGCATTTGATCGGAGAACAGAACGACTCATCCGTAGGCAAAGGTTAACATCGGTTGACCGTCGATGCTCAACGTTTTTTCTTTTTCTTCTCCTCTATGTTCTTACCTTCGAATCAACGATATGTGTTCAATACTGGTATGCGCACGAATGCATTTACGAAAGAAAAGAATAGCGAAAGAGAAAGACAGAGAGAGAGAGAGAGAGAAAGAAAGAGAAGGAGAAAAAGAAATTTTTGAAAGCAAGCCAAGAAAAATATGACCAAAACAAGAGAAAGTGTATGTCACTCTTTTGATCAAATATTGAACATATATACGATGTGGATGACGACGGACATTGTTCAGGTGTATACACACACACATACTCACTTTCCTTTTCCGTTATTATTATTATTGAAATGGTTCAAAGAGAAAGGTGTCAATTATACGCATGAGAAAGCTTCGAAAAGAAATAATTATTCAGCAGCTTCTCTATATGTATTAGATATCAAAAGAGAAGAATTTTATATTTAAAATAAAAAAAACGAGATGACAACTACTCGAGTTACATATAAAATTAGTTTTTTGTTTTGAATAATTCTATTGAATAGCTATGATTTTATTCATTATGACATCTTGTCACCTACTGTGTAAAGTGTTTATGTTCAAGAGTGTTTTCGATGAACTAAGAATTGATGAACAATGTGTGTGTGTGGGAGAGTATTCTTCAGTTGAAATTCTTACATACTTCTTGACATTCACCTAACGATGTGTCAAATCGGATAAGCATGCTTAGGAGAAGTTCAAATTTTCGTTATGTATATTACAAAGCGAGAAGAAACATGTTGATTCATACATAAAAACAGCACATATACATGCATACATGTCAAGATTGATAGCATTCTATAATAGGGTGGTACCAATAACAATAGAGAGGAGGTCTGATAAAGAAATATTATATAACGCCAACATAATAATAATCATTTATATTGAATGGAGGCTGGTCTGACTGTCTATCTATACGTTTATTTTATTTTTTTTGTGTGTATTCGTTTGAAGTTCTGAATATAGAGTTATGTATTGATCAGAGAAAATAGGACAGTAGAGATTTATTGAGGATAAAGAAAAAGAAGAATGAGTGAGTGTGAAATTGTATACTGAATGAACAATTTTCAATTGAATATCCATCTATTTCAATAGAATATACAAATGTGAAACCTCGTTGTGTACGTTCATAGTCGAATCAATAGAAGAAAAAGAAAAAATTTGTCATGAGCCTAATCTAAGCCTGTGTGCTTAGCTCGGATTTCTTTTTCTTTTATATCTATTTGTATATGAGAATGATTTCAAGGACAGAAATATACAATTGTATAATGGACTCATTGATCAACAGACAAACTACGTGTATATGTATATATAAAATCATACCATTTATTTAAATACAAGAAAAAAAAAGTAAAGTACATATATGTAATGACCTCTATTCGTTATTCATTCATCATATTCATGTTCATTGGAACATGTGTACTAATGTCATTGAATATGATGAGATGTCCATATGAGTAACGGCATCAATATGTACATGAGGAAAAAGCTATTTTATGTATTGATAGGATTGACTGGAAAATTGACAATAGGATTGTGCGAGGTCAAATGATAATGATAGATGAATGATAGGATAAAGAGAACGAGCAACAAAAGTTTGTCTTTTTTTATATACTGAATTATATACTATAGAATGAATTTTGGAGATGTTTCGTTTCTTTTCGATTTTATTTATGTCTAGAAGAATTCATTTAATGAAGAAAGTATTACATTTTGAATAAACATAAAAAATTTTATATGTGCATTTTTAATCGATCAATTGTTCATTTCAATAGACGATGTTTAATATTGAAAACAATATAAGATTATTTTAATATACTTTATTTATTAATGATTACTATTCTATAAGTCACACTTAGAGTATTGATCATAATATATACGCAACTAAAAAAAAGAAATTCTCAATATTATATGATCTTTTGATGTTATGCTTGTATATTGATTTATGATTTAGGAAAAAAAAGCCTATTGATATTTTTTTCACAACAATTTGATAAAACAAGTAAATCGACTTAAAAGAAAAAATTTTTCCATGAAGAAAGAAATCGGTTTAAATAAAACTTATGACAATGTGTAAAATTGTTTGATCATTGATTGAAATTCTTGCAGAACAAAACAAAGAATAATAGTGACAATTGAAATATTAGTTCAAGTATATGAAAGTAAAGAGTGCGAACTTAATTTCCTATTGTCAAAAATATATGATACAAGTAGTATTTCTCAATTGTCAAGTTCTAAGGTGATAATCAAGCAGAAGTTATTCCTAATAGAGTCATTTTATGATTATTTAACTTATATGATAGATATAATTTTGTTATCAATAGAACATAAAATATGCATCGACCTATATTCAATATGTCGAACAATGAATGGCGTAATCATCATTATGATAACGATGTTATTGTATAAACGATTGAGCTATTGTTCCACTTGGATTATAGAATAGATTTGTACAATAGAATAAGTATTATCAAACAATCTAAATCATTATAGCTACGTGTGTCTGTTTGATCTCTCTCTTTATTTTTTCGATAAGCACAATCTCTCTGCTTTACTGATATATACATTTTATATTACTCTATTAACTTATCTAAAAAATCATGGCATTCTTTTACATTTTTTCTCCGCCTAATTTCTTCAATAAGTATGTAAAAATTTTTTCTTAAATAAACAATGTAATACAATTTTAAATATGGCATATATATACAAATATGATCAAATGTTTGCTATGTTTTTACGCAGAATTATATTCAAATGTCCAGTAAAGAAATTATTTAATTATATCTCGATGCAAACCGAATGTATTTTATATTCTCCTTTTATCAAAGACAAAAAAAAAGAAAACAAAAGAAAATCCCGTGTATATATATATACAAATTAACTGCACACACTTAATTAAAGAAATTAATTTCATTGTTGAAATAATATAACAAACAATAACAAAAGAAAAAAAACAAAAAGACAAAAAAATAAGCAAATTATGTTCGTCGATAACATGCTCGTACCCACTGTTGATCATCATTTTGTATACGTACGATTAATTCGCGTAATTCAGTATATGTTCGTTCAAGATCATTATTTATTAAAATGTAATCAAATAATAAATAATGATGTCTTTCAATAGATCGACTTTGTCGTATGATTTCACGATAATCATTATCTGTTAGATGATCTCGACGATCAAGTTCTAAACGTTTTAAACGTTCAAATGATGGTGCTGCAATACAGATTATAAATGGATAAAGATCTGTTTTATAAAATGTTCGTATTGCATCTGGATTTAAATTTAATATACAAATTTTTCGTTTTGTAGATACAACAGATCGTATATCTTCTATTGATGTACCATATAAATCACGATCATATTGACCAAATTCAACAAATGAATGACGAGCTACTTTAGCTAGAAAATCAGGTTCGGATACAAAATGATAATCAATATCAGCTATTTCATGAAGACGACGAGCACGTGTTGTATGTGGAATGGCAACATCGAATAGATTTGGGTCTGTTTGAAGAAGACGACGACGTAATTCATGTCGACCAACATTTGGAGCTCCTAAAATATACATATATAGATTTATTTCCTAATGCTGATATACTCTCTTTTACTTACCCAATAAAATAATTGGCCTTGTTGTTTGTTGTGTTGAAAGATCAAGACGAAAGACAGGTTCATAAAAACGAAATGTATTATTATTATTCATAGAAGAATCAATTGTCATAGTTTTATTATTATTATTTGTCAATGCCGTTGTTGTTTGTGTTGGTGGTGGTGATGATGTTGATGGTTGTTCTTCATCGAATTGTCTAGTATCAGTTAATGAAAAATGATTTATCGATGTACGAATATTTGGTGTTTCTGCATCATCAATTTCACGTAAAAATGATGCATTATTATAAACAGGATGTAAAATTTTTCGTTCCTTTTTTGGTACACATGGTAAACAAAGTTCATTTCGTTTCTTCTTTTTACGATTTTTCGGACAAAATAATGATGAAGATGATGATGAAAGTGATTCTGTATCATCACTAACAGCTTTAATTAACGCAGCACGTTTTTGTTGTAAACAATCTGATGGTATAAGTCCTGCTAGACATGGATCTGTATCTGTTTCTGTTGAATTCTCACGATATGCTTGCCACCAACTAACATATATATCATTATTTTTAATAATATTTTCATCACGTGCAACAATACGTAAAATATCTCCACGTTGAAACATTAACCCAAGTTCTTTACATGGTAATAATGGATCATTATAAGGATCATAGGCATATAAAGCTCGAACATAAAATGTTTGATAAGATATAAAATTATTATGAATTGATATTGAATATAATGGTGGAGCAAGAAGAAATTTAATTAAACCAGTTGTATTTGACATTAATGAACAAACATAATCAAGTGAACGACCTGTTAATGGTTCATCATTGATTTCAAGTATACGATCATTAATTTGAAAAAGTTCGGTATTTGCTGCAATACCACCAATAACAATTCGAGCGATTTGTATAATACCGGAATCTGTACGTGATATTGTTAAACCTAATGGTTCATGATTTTTTTCAATTTTAACGATTTTTAATTCATCAATTGCATATTGAGATAATTTTAATAATTCTTCAGTTGTTTCGGAATTATTTAATTTATTTTGAATATTTTCATTTGTAGGATTTAGTTGTTCGTCATTATCAGGTAATGCAGGTGGATAAAGACGTAATTTAAGAATATTATCAAATACATTTAATAGACTTTGCATTTCTGAACGACGTAATAATGTTAAACATGTTTTTAAATCATTAAGCATATCGAATAATGATGGAGATGATGCTCTTGTTGTACTAAAAAAGAAAATATTTAGTTTTACATGAATTCTTTCATCGGGATTAAGGTAACCTAATTTCAGAATCTATACTTAACTATCAATCATAGACTTAGCGATCAAATATTATTCTTGTCTATACACATTGACAATTAACCTCATTAGTAGAAGCAAAAATAGATCAAAGATATGAATACATACGTTCCATCGAACATTTGAAATTCTGCATCAGTTAATTTTTTTTCAATTAATTGAATAAATTCTTCAACCATTTGTTTAAAATCTCGTTCACCATTATCATCATTATTAATCATTATTTCATGAAATAAATCCATTGAACAACCACTTGCTTTCGTAATTATTGGTAATAAATGAAGACTTTGTTGTAATGCACCTTGTTGTGCTATTTCACGTAAACGACCAATATCTTCTTGAATATGATTGTCTTCCATATTTAATATTGTTTGTGTACAATCTAATGTTGTATAAATATCATCAATTGATATTGATAAAGTTGGTGATAATGCACAATGATGTGCACTTGTTGATAAACTACTATTACTTCCACTAGTTGAACCTTTACGTATTAAATTATTGTCTTTATTAATTTGTTTCTTTTGAATATCATTACGATGAATTGATAGAGTATAGTAAGCTTCATCAGATGTTTGTGCATCGGGAGATGATCGACTTAGATGACTACTACCACGACGACTACTTTGACGAAGTAAAGAGCCTCGTTCAAATGTAGTAGTAGTTACTTGTTTATTCTAGGAATAATATACATACATATAATAAGAGAAAAGGAGGAGACAGAAACGAGAGAAAAAGACAATGAGTCGAAGATTTTTATATTGACAAGAAGTAAATGGGAGAAATTTAGCTTTTTAATAGTGAGACGAAAACCTTGTATTGACTAATGAATAAAGCGAAAAAATGTTTCGAAGGATATGACTTACGAGTGGTTTAAGTCGAAGTAATTCAATACATTCCACCTTTGATGCAACTATGTGATGATCAACGAAATCTTCTTTAACTGGAGATAATACATCAAATTCAGCAGGAACATCAACTAAAATCAATATTTCTTTGTTATATATAAATATATTCGTTCTGTTTTATACACGTACCTGCTCGTTCTCCACCTAACCATTGAATAATTCGTGCTGTTTGATGATTTTGTTCTGGTTTTATTTTACTGGTACAACCACCTACATTACTGGCACGACTACCATTAATCTTATCGGCTATAGCAACCATTTTTTGTGATCAAATGTTCATTTTGTGACAAACTTTACTTGCAATCCTACATCAAAGATCAAGGTTGAATTTTCTTTTTTCACGTAATGAGCTATGAACGCGTGCTTATACTCCCACTATTGAACAAAGAATATGTTAAGACATAGTTAAATACAAGCTCGTATTTCTTTCTTTGTTGTTTTATTTCCTCTCTCTCTCTAACGCGAAAATGCAAACGATAGCTAAAGATAGAAAAAAAAGGAAAATTTTCGTACATACATATCTTCGCAATTGTAACTATATGTGAATGAATAAAGATATATGAGAGTTGGATCGTAAAAAAAATTAGATAGACATGTACAATATCAGAAGCAGTCTAAGCCAGATGTAAATAATAATGTTAGCTTTCAATAATTGAACTAATGTCGTCTGTCTTGTCTCTTTTAATCTCATGTACAACGTCGGTCACTATCGTCTAGTTTGAATATATCATCAACCTGAACTACTATAATTATTGTTACTTACCTTCACCAACTGAAGAGAAAGTGTCAACCTTTTTCTTTCTTTTTTTTTTCGTCTTTTTCTCTTATGAAATGACTGAACATAGACGATTGTGTGAATCATGATGAAAAGAAAGAAAAACAAACGAGTATCATTCGTCCTAACGTTAATGTCGTCGTTTTCATTTCTTTACATTATATATTTTCCTTACCTTTTCTCGCCGATATCCCTCCATTTTAAATGCAGAATACACACATATATGAACACGATAGGGAATATAGTTTGTTTTTCTGTCCTTTCGACTGTATATATATATATGAATGCCTCGAGCATAAAAGCATATCCTCTTTTTTTTGTCTTATGAAGAGGTGACCGAAAAAAAAGACTCTTAAGTGCAATGTTGAAGCGATTTATATATACACATACAGAAGCAATACTAAATAATAATACTCATTATGAATCGATAAAAGTTAAGATACGTTTTGGTACTAACACTTGAAAGATTTTTCGTTAATAAAGAGTTTTACAATAAAAATATTACTCTTGTGATGAACTATTACATCACCAAAAACGATCTATTAGGATTCTTAAGTAACTATTATATGCAAGTTGACATTTTATTGAATTCATACGGTTGGCATATTTCTATAAGTTAATAATGAGATTTTTTGTCTATTGAAGTAACATTAATCTTATTTTTTTTCTTTCTTTCTTTCTATATAAGAAGATAAACCATGCGTTTCCATATCTATTCAATTTTATTCCGTAATCTTTATGACATTGTTCATTGTCATTGACTACTTGAATATAAGTAATAGAAAAGTTGTTAAAATTCAATTACTTAAAGATTTCTTTCTTTTTTTCTTCTTCTATTCAATACTTGATGAAAGAAGAAGATCAATTGACATACTCATTGTAGATCAGTCAATTCTTGATATTAACACCTTTATTTGTATTACAAAAAAAAGAGACAATTTAATTTAATAGCCATTTAATTGAACAAAGAGAGTTGTTATAATGAACATTTACATGCTTTTATCTTTTAACAAGTGAGAAATGTCAGGAATATTAATATTTTATTCACAAGCAAGGAATATATATGATGATTGAAAAAATTAGTCTAGACTTAACTATGCTGTATAAAGAAGAAAATATGATTAGAATCCGTTTCAACGGTTGAAATTATTGTTTAATTAGTTTTTTAAAAATTGAACGATTTGATTATGAAATATCGAAATTGAGTTGTCTACCTACATGTTGAGAAATAAATACGCTTGGATAATCATTTGAAACAGTTGATTTTACATATTTTTATAACAGCAATTTGTGGATAAAATAAAATGTTTGAAACATATTGTTCATCTTCACAATGTCTAGATGAGAATAATATTAATTATTAGCATACATCGTAGAATTAGCTTCTCATCATACTGTCATTCTTTATATGGCTAAATATGTACATTATTCAATTGTAGTTCTTTAGTCAGCGGTATAAATTAGTATAGTGGACTGTAGAATGTATGACAATTGTATTAGACATGCATGCACATGTTTCCAATTATCATCTATAGATGAATAATAAATTATTGCACAGGAGAATGTTATAGTAAAAGTGTTAAAATGTACAAATAAAAAATAGAATCGATCATACACGTGAACAGTGTTTTATCCAGGTTTCTTTTTGTGAGTGGGCGAATTGAAAATTCTAGGTGGGTGCCGCCTATTAGTACTTTGCCCAAGTCTCGTTTTCTTTTGTCTATAATCATAATCATATATTTGTATTTATGTATCATTATAAGTTTCAAGACAAAAAATATAAAATCTTCATTATTTTAAAATAATTTTTGAATATAAATAAATATGAACAGTCTTATATTAAAAAAGGATTTACTCTCGAATGTTTTTACATTAACATTAATGTAAATTATCAGCATGATAGAAGATCTACGAATAGATTACATAGTTACTGAATTAAATGAAATTATGTCTTACTTTTAAATACAAAACAGTTTACATTATGATTTTAGGAAAAATAATCTTTTGAGTATTAGCAATACTTGTTTTTTTTACTTGAATAATTTTTTTTTGACGCAATTTATTCTTTACATTTTCTAGGTTCTAATAACGTTTGTTAAATTTACTGAAGCAATTTAAATAAATAAAAGA